CTGCCCTCGTGAGACCTCCCTTGGAGTATTGTGTCCAGTTCTGGAGTCCCCAACATAAGAAGGACACGGACCAGTTGGAGAGGGTCCAGAGGAGGGCCACGAAGATGATAAGAGGGCTGGAGCACCTTTCCTATGAGGACAGGCTGAAAGAGTTGGGGCTCTTCAGCCTGGAGAAGAGGAGGCTCCGGGGTGACCTTATAGCGGTCTTCCAGTACCTCAAGGGGGCCTACAAGAAAGATGGGGAGAGGCTGTTCAGGAGGGCCAGTTGTGATAGGACAAGGGGTAATGGTTTTAAAATAGAGGGAGGTAGATTCAGGTTGGATATTAGGAAAAAATTTTTTACCATGAGAGTTGTAGAACACTGGAACAGGTTGCCCAGAGAGGTGGTGGATGCTCCATCCCTGGAGACGTTCAAGGCCCGGTTGGATGAGGCCCTGAGCAACCTGATCTAGTTGGAGATATCCCTGTTCCTTGCAGGGGGGTTGGACTAGATGACCTTTGAAGGTCCCTTCCAGCCCTAACGATTCTATGATTCTATGACTGTGACTCCCTTGCCGGAGCCAGAGTAGCCACAGCTGGAGTGAGAGTCCTTTGGTAAAGAAGGTAAAGCCGCAAGCCCTGATGTGATACTCTCATGGGAGGGAAGTGAGCTGGAGTCGAAATGAATGGACTGGGTCTCTGCTCACTAATATTAGTACATTTCTGTTTCAGTAACAGAATTGCTCCCCTGGTCCCGCTGCTCAGGGTTTTCCAGGCCTTCCAGATGCCAGGTTCACTTCTGTGCTTGTCTCTACACCCTCGGCAAAAACATGCCTGTATAGCTTTGATGGAGATAGTCCTAGAAATATCTTTTTTTACAAGTTTGATCTTCAAAGGTGTTTAATATTCTCAACTTTCCTTACAGATGATGAGAGTTGCAGGTGTACTTGACAGGACTGAGTCCTATGAGAGTAGTTACCAGTGTACATGGTCAAGTAGAGGACTGCTCGTTGTACCTCGTGTTTTCATTGAGAACACATGAGTGATATATCTGATCTATGTAAAGAAATATTGTCTCATTTAAGAAAAATTTGCCTTCAGGACAACATGGAAATAAATCAGGGGAAGCTTCCACAGTATCCTTTTGTGGCTGGTATATAACTAGAGTTTAAAATGCAATTCTTAACTCCAAGACTGACTCAAAAATAAAATGTACTGGATGTTTTATATTCTTTCAAATAAAAAGTGGTTTTATTTAGGAATATTTCTAGTTCTGCTTTCGTTCTGTTTCTAATCTGGTCACAAACAAGCAGTGTTCTTCAGAAACAGCAGTCTGATGGGTTTGCTTGGAGAGAGAAGCTTGCTTTGAAAGCACCGTTTCCACATTGCCATGCAGTTCTGTGCTGAGTGTATCACTGTCAAAGATTGTAAATATGTTCACTGGCCAGTACACAAAGCTCAGACAAAAAGACTCTTCTGCTTACCACGATGCTCCTCTCTGTGACTTAGTTTTCCTGTTTGTTAAATGAAGCCAGTCACACCCAGGTACAAAGTACTTTGACCTCTACTGTTTAAAAATGTTACGGAAAGTCTAGATGCGAACTTTATTCACCACAGGTATTTAATCAATAGATTCTTTTTGAAGATAGCTCAGGAAAGGAATAAGTTATGCGGCTGAATTTCTAGTGTGACTCCTTTGATAGTTTCTGAAAGCTGTTTCCCTAGATGATAAAAATTCTAACTGCTTGCAGCTTCTGTTCAGGTGAACCAACTCTATTCAACAAATGGAACAAAACATATTTATCTTATTATTAAATTCTCATATCACCACACACACAATATAAATAATAATTTAAAAGAAAAAGAAATTGTGGCAATTTGCTGGATTAAACAATATCCTCATCGCATGCTAGTTTTCTTGCCTGGGAGCAAAATATTTATTCTCTTTTCTGTACTTCAGGATATAAGTAAAGTAACTCATGAGGAAAATTGGTCACGCTAAATCTTTTTGTAGGTAAGGTAAATTTGATTTCAAATATAGAATTCAAATCTCATTGGTTTGGAACATCATTTTCTAAGGGAACACAAGATCAATTTTTAATAAACATTACGAATTTTGATGGTTTCATATTTGGGTACCTTATGAGGCTGCATTCTCAGGTTAAAGATATACATCACTCTGGAAATCACAACATACATAGCGTCCCAAGTGGATTCCACACCGATAGACCTGTGCAAGGACTTTCTCTGGCATGTAGGATCAGTCACCTTGCAGAAGACCAGATGTGGTCCATATGTGGCTGACAAGGTGCTGCACGGATGAAAGAACATAACTGCTGGTGTGGCACACAAGCTGGAACCTGTACCTCAAACTGGATGAGGGTCCATTTGTTATCTTCATTAGTTCTGGAACCATCCCACCTCTCCCAACATCAGTTGCTGGACCTCATCCAAATGGTTGGAAAAGTTATGCTTAGGGATAGCTGTGAGGATAAGCTAAAAGGAATTTAATTGCTTTTACCAAGAGAGATTTTTGTTTCTTCAAAAACAAAACAATTCACCACAATACAGACATAGGAACATAGTTCCTTTCCCCCAGTCCCAGCTTCGCTGTTTTGGAGACAGTCCTAAGGTATTCTCTGTAATGACTTCTTTTGATGCTTCCTGACAGCAAAATGGTTTTCAGCCTCTGGCCTGCTGCGAGCTGGGCTGTGCTCTGCACCATCTGCTTGAGAGTGTAGAAAGAACCCTGTGCTTGCCTCTTCCTTCCTTCCTGAGGCCTGATTCTAAGTTTCTGCAACATTACCTGGGAAGAATTTCCCTTCCTCTGTGGAAGTGACTTTAGCCTGCATCATGTGCAGCTAAACCCCAGCTCCCCATATCTAGTCAACATATTTCTTGACAAAATCACTTGGAAAATTATGAATATGCGTTTTACAGATTTCATACTGTTCTCACTGAATTTAGGGGCAATATTTTCAGTGAACTGAGTGGAGACAGAGCTGGGCTTAAAACAAGCAACCCCGTTCCCTCAAAAAGCAAAAGCAGAACAATGTTATGCGTACAGTAAACACCTGCATTTTGACATGTCTGAGGCAAAGACAAGGAGAAAATTTCCAGCTATTTTTTCAATGACCATCAGTTCATTCATTTTTTTCCCATTTGCAGTCAATGTTCTAAGCAGCAATTTTTCCTTTTCAGAAAATGTTAAGGAGAAAACATGTTTTCCTCCATCCCCATCTTGTGATATATGGAACACAAAGATTATGATGTAAAGTTTCACACACAAACCTCCTGGAGAGCTGGCTCATTTTGAAAACTATTCCTAGGTGTTCTGTGTCTCTTTCTCACTCAAAGACTATACGATTAGCATTTCAATGTCCCACAACTTCTTGTCTAGATCCCTAGGAGGATATGAAAATGTACCCATGAAAGCTAAGCTGTTTGGTATTTATCACGCACACTCTGATTGTATTTCAGAGCTCTGGGATTTAAACAGGACATCAGTCTTTCATAGCCCATTTGGATATCTCGGTCTTCACATAATGCTGCTGGATGAGTACCAAGAGCGACTGTTCGTGGGAGGAAGAGATCTCTTGTATTCCCTCAGTTTGGATCGAGTCAGCGACAACTACAGAGAGGTGGAGTAGAAAGTTATATGTATTAATCACTTCAAATCATAATGTGTAGCACTGAATATCAGAGTTTGCATGACTGGAAATGAGATAATGGAGTTTTTGTAGATTTTTTGTGCATGAAGTTCAAGGTCATGTTTATACTTAAGAAAAATACATTAATTACCCTTTTTTTCCCAGTAATAACCTGTAAGGGTCACTCCAGGTGAAGAGATCTGAAGGACATATAGCTATGTCTCTCTGTTTTTCAACGTTTACAGAAATTCAGAGCATCTCACACAGTACATACTTGATTTCTGTATCTGCATTGTATCATCAAGGAATAATTTCTCCCAGATATTTGTGTAGGACTTTTCCACAGAGACAGAGAAAACATTACAAAAAAAGTATTAAAAATTTGGCACATAAATCATAGAATCATAGAATCATAGAATCATACAATGGTTTGGGTTGGAAGGCACCTCTAAGATCATCAAGTTCCACCCCCCCTGCCATGGACAGGGACACTCTCCACTACACCAGGTTGCCCAAAGCCTCATCCAACCTGGCCTTGAACACTTCCAACACTTCCATGGGACATCCCAACTTCTCCGGGCAACCTGTTCCAGTGCCTCACCACCCTCAATGTAAAAAATTTCTTCCTTATATCTAATCTAAATCTCCCCTCTTTCAGTGTAAATCCATTGCCCCTTGCCCTATCACTACATGCCCTTGTAAAAAGTCCCTCTCCAGCTTTCCTGTAGGCCCCCTTTAAGTACTGGAAGGCTGCAATAAGATCACCCCAGGAGCCTTCTCTTCTCCAGGCCGAACAGCCCCAACCCTCTCAGCCTCTCTTCACAGGAGAGGTGCTCCAGCCCTCGGATCATCTTTGTGGCCCTTCTCTGGACTCAGGCAGCTCCATGTCCTTCTTGTGTTGGGGACTCCAGAGCTGAATGCAGTATTCCAGGTGGGGGTCTCACAAGAGCAGAGTAGAGGGGCAGAATCACCTCCCTTGACCTGCTGGCCACACTTCTTTTGATGCAGCCCAGGACACGGTTGGCTTTCTGGGCTGCCAGTGCACATTGCCGGCTCATGTTGAGCTTCTCATCAACCAGCACTCCCAAGTCCTTTTCCTCAGGGCTGCTCTCAATCCATTCTCCGCCCAGCCTATACTTGTGCTTGGGTTTGCCTCAACCCATGTGCAGAATCGCAAGAGAAAAATAGAGGACCAGAATTCCCTCCCTGGCCCTGCTGGCCACACTTCTTTTGATGCAGGATACGGCTGGCTGGCTGAGCTGCAAGTGCACATCACTAGCTCATGTTGAGCTTCTCATCAACCAAGACCCCAAGTCCTTCTCCTTAGGGCTGCTCTCAAATTATGCTACCAGAGAGCTTGGTACGTTGTAGAAACCACAACCGATTGGCAAACTGGCAATTGAAGTGGAGAGGCCAGAGACTAAACTGATGTGAACCTTAGCTTCTTTACTGTCTTCTCTTGCTAGGCAGGATTGGAAGCATGTAGTGATAAATTAAGCTGATAGAAACATTACTCCTGCCTCAACCATCTTGACTGTGGATAAACAATGTCTTGAAATATTTCAGTGTTTTTCTAATCTACTTTTTGATATTTCCCCCAGGTATTTTGATATATTTTCATTCATTCTCAAATTAATAAATGAATGAAAAAAATGAGTAAATAAAACCCCTCTGGAGAAATATGATTTTCATTGATTTCTGCACTACACTGATCATTGATGTTTCAAAGTCTTTTTTTTCTGCCCCCTTGTTGTAAGTAAATATCACTATTCTCACGTCAATACCTTGATCAACTTTACCATAAGCAACCTTGCTTATCTCCAAGTGTAATTAGTATGTTCCTCTATTGTGAACAGACATAATATGCTTTCTCATTTTTTATAAAAAGTTTGGGAAAGGCAATTCTAGATATGATGAAATCGATACACTCAGGGAGGCCATTTGAGAACTTATCTACATTTTAAAAAATAAAATGTAGTTTTTTTAACTCCTCAAAGAGCAATGTTATATACTGAGCTTTGCTCCTCCACCGTAAGATATGAGTTAACTCCTTTTCTATTTGGTAAAAATTATTAATATCCTGTGACAAGATATCAGAGCTCAGGGATATGAAAACTTTTAGGAAGCAGTTGTTTCTATAAGATAAGCTTTTTTCTCCCTCTCTTCTTCCCCATTTGACAGTAAATCTGTGGGAGGAAAGATGACAGGACAGAGCACTTTCTGCTCCTGTGAAACCACTATTGTCCCACTTGGACACATTCTTGAGGTTCATTGCTCTCCTTCTTATTGCATGGAAGATCAGCCATTTACTCTGAAACCATATTCTCTTTCTTGAGACCCATATGCATGGGTATGACAAATTAATGGAACCTCCTCTTGCCTGCTTGCCTGCTTTTATGATGTGCAAAAGATGGGAAACTGGAATAAATGGAGCTTGACCTAGCATGTTCAGAAACACGACCTCACTGGCACTTGGCTCAAATGTCATGATCTTTTTCTCTTTTCCCAGTGTTCACTCAGTGCAGATCTGATTTAGTGGTAGCTAGGGAAAACATGACTCTCTCACAGCACTATGAGCAAAAGTGAGGAGTGAGACATTTCTGAGAGCTTAATGACTAAGATACATCGGGGGAAGTTCCTGGAATTAAGAGACTGGTTGATTCGTTATGACCAAAGTTCTTCATTATTCTGCCTTAAACTGCATGTTGGTTAGCCTTTGACCTTTTCTTTCAGATAGAAGACTTTACCTTAATTAATCTAAAACACCAATTATAACCTAGTGAAAGTGTAAGACTGGAGGCAAGTTCCTGGGTTTTAATCTCTTTCTGTTAACCAGGATGAATCACTAGCTGCAAAGAAATGTGTTCATAAAATTGGTAGCTTTGGGGCAGATTTGTGTAGATCTTTTTTATCTTCATTTATCCACAATTTAGAATATGAATATATTCTCTAAAAACCAAAGTAAAACCCATTCCCAATCAGAGATGTATTCCTTCTGTTGTAAAATGACCCAGTAATTCAGTTCTAGCAAGCATATTAGAAGACCCTCAAAGAAAAACAACAAAATGCTGAGTGGACATAGAATACTTTTGCATTGAGACTTATTGATTGCCAAAGTAATCCAGCATCTCCAAAAAAACTCAACTTGTGATGCAGATGAGGTATGCATCTTATAAATCTGCATTTAATACACTACATTTTTTCTTAAGGTTCAATTATTTTCAGCTTTCAAATACAAAACAACACTCTGAAGGGTAGACTATAGCTTTTTCACATAAACTATTAGCTGTTTGTGTATATATCTACCAATATTTTGTGAAGTATATATTATCCTTATCACTTTTGATATCCAGTAAAAAAAAAAAAAAAGATATATACAAAACAGGAAAAATCTTTCAGGGAAGAAAACTAGTACTTTTATTCCTGCATTGGTTGGGGAATCCAGAGTTGTGGGTTTAGCTTTCAAGTGTAGCGTAAACCTTCCATGTCATCTTGGACAAAGATAGAGCCTTCTCCATTGGTCAAATCATATTTCCTTTTCCTACTTTGCTTTTTTTTCCCTCTCCTCTTTGTGTCTCTCTTTTCATATAATATACAAAGAAATTTTCTTGCTTGGAGTTTTAAACATATATTACTGTTTTTGAAATCAAGCTACTCATGCGTCTCGGTTTCTGTATGAACAATGCCCTAACATTAACAGTAGCAAGAATGAGAGACGATATCAAATGTGGATATCAATATTTACAGAGAATTAAAGTCATAGAAGCACTTGAAACCTCATGTAAAGCCAAAGCTTTGGAGGCACCTTCCATGTGACCTTTGATTTCCCTAAGATCTCATTCCTTTTGACACCATCTTTGTAATTAAACTTTACACATATTTGGGATTTGATCCAAAGTCTTTAAGGGTTGTAACAATCTAACACACTGATAGAGAAATTACTTTGATATCTGGTGCCAAAAAAAAATTATTTTAAAAGCATTTCAGTTCGTTGTGATTGGTAACAGAGCAGATCTTTGTTGACAGCAATCTTGAACCAATGCCAGTAGTTCATCACCACTGATCTAACAGCTCATCAAGAATGATGACCTTTGTTTCTACTTTTCACCTCTTGTTGGAGTGAAAAAAGAAATTAATTTCCTATTTGTCCAGAAACTCCTTACAGATACTCTTGCTTCCTAGGTTCTACTTCAAAGGGCTCATGAAAGCCTTGCTCTGAAGAGAACCCTTCCTACTTCCATAAATGGGCTTATGAAGGCTGATTTCAATGTGCTGTTTCTGATCTAGTACGAGATAGCTCCAGATTAGGATTTATGTCTCAGTTGTAATAAATTACAGAGCCCTCCTAATATATCCTGCCTCTAGCGAAGCAGGAGTATTTCCACTCCAGAGCTGGCTGAACACAAATTTGCCCGAGCAGGGCTTGCATGTATCTCCTCTGAATACGATGTAGGAATGTACATATGTTCAAACAGAAACAAGAAGCACACAATTTAGCAGTGAGTTTGATTATCCATTGGAATTACCTCATGAGAGGCAAGGTCATTGTATATTTGTTGAGATATATATATATATATATATATAAAATATCCAGTCATAACCAGATATTTTTGCAGAATTTGTGCTTCAGCCAAACACAAGTTATGTGTTAATTAGGCACTATTTACTGACTGAAACCAGGGACGGGATACTTGAATTGTCTAATTGCTCTGTCAGACACTGGAGTCCAGACTAACTCACACGGTGTTCTATTTCTGCCTGAAGTTCTATGAAGCTCGTGTAATTTCTTAAAATTAGTTTTCATTAGACAGGCCATCCTGGGTTTTGAGGCTAGTGACTGAATAGGGAAGCTGTTTAGAGACACTAATTAGCATTCCAGCTCCAATTAAAGTTTTTCCCTATCTGAATTTGCTCAGTATCTGTTGTCTGTACTGCCTCATAATTCTATTTTTTTCCCATGAGAAGTATATTTAAAAATAGTTTTTTCCTGT